TCCTTATTGCTATGATAAAAAGCTGACCAGAATGGGGCTGGAGGGATGTCTCAGGGGTTAAGAGCACTGGCTGCTCTTCCAGAGGTCCTGAGTTCAACTCCCAGCAACCACATAGTGGCTCACAACCATCTGTAATGAGATCTGGTGCCTGTTTCTAGCGTGTGGGCATACATGGAGGCAGAATGTTGTATACGTAATAAATAAATAAATCTTAAAAAAAAAACTGACCAGAAGCAGCTTGTGGGCAGAAGAAAGGGTTTATCTGGCATACAAGTCATAGTCCAGCATTCAGGGAAGCCAAGGTAGGAACTCTAGGCAGGAACCGAAGCAGAGACCACAGAGGAATGTTGCCTCTGGTTTGCTCAACTACCTTTCTTATAGAACCCAGGCCCACCTGCCTAGGGTTGGCACCGCCCACAGTATCAATCAGTCATGAAGAAAATATCTCCCAGTCATGACCACAGACCAACCTGATAGAGGGAACCCCTCAGCTGAGATTCTCCCTTTTCAGGTGTGACATAAACTATGGCAGATGGGGAGAGAGAATTTAAGTGGCTTGTGCCCGATAGTCAAGACCTAGATACACTTTAAAATCAAACTTGAGTTTTTTTTTTTTTTAAAAAGGAGAAAACACACTTCAATCGACCATGTTGTTCTGGCTACTAGTGGGAAAGATGACGTAGGCTGGCAGGAAGTGTCAGCAAGAGTGACCCAACTAAAGCCCACTCCCTAACTCATGCCAGGTGAAACAAGCTCAAACATCCATTAGTCAGTCACCCGAGAGTCTCCTTGGCATGGAAACACACGCAAACAAAAGCAGACTTTGAGCATCTAGATCCTTCCCGAGAAAATAGAACAAACGGCCAAATAGACAACGCCTGAACGCCTCTCATCCTCTCCTGGAAACCCCAGGTCCCCAGGGAGGGATCGCTTGCTGTCAGTCTGTCACTTGTCAAGGTAGAGACCAGCTTCTTTGCCCTGCACAGTCTTCTCTACATCTCCCTTCCCACATGAGTGCACCAGCGCCGAGGCAAAGCCCATGGGGAACTTGCCATCAAGAACAACGATTAAGAGCACTTGCTGTTCTTACAGAAGACCTGGGTTCAGTTCCCAGCACATACATAATGGCTCACAACCATCTGTAACTCCAGTCCCAGAGGATCTGAAGCCCTCTTTGGGCCTCCACAGGTACTGCATGCACATGGTGTATACATACAAGTAGATAAGTGCTCATACACATACATTTAAAAAAATTAAAAAATAAATAAAAGAGTATCACCTGGCCCAGGAGGCTTAATCCTATTTTATTCTTTAAAATCAAGGGCCAAGTGTATTCCAGGAATTGAGTATAGGCTACAGGGACAGCCTGTTCTGTCCCACCCCAGCCTTATCCTCCTTGCAGGGCAGGGCAGAACCACTTCCTGCCAGGGTGGGAAAGGATGAAGGGGATGACCACTCAGTGGGGAGTTGCATCCCCTTTCCAGCCCGCCTGTCTGGTCCTCCTTTTACTTTTATTTAACTCTTCTTTGTTCCTTAATTTTTCTTCCCCTGCTCCGCTTGCTTCCCCCAGACTTACTAGATTTCTATTTTTAAAGCACAACGGAACTGCTCTTGACCTCCTGTCGTCTCTATTCACTTTTCTGAAGTAGTCATTAGCATTTCTCATGTTGTGAAATCCGCCCTGATGCAGGCAAGCCTTTTCCCTCGCGGTTCCGTACAAGTGTGTGGGTCGCCGAGAAATGCGCTCCTCAAAATGCTTGTAAGCCTGCCACTGTGGACTTTCCCACTGTGGAGTTTCCTCTGCCTGTGAAGCACGTTCAGTCATGCTAACAGAGGACGTGTGAAGGGTACCCAGCATTTACTAACTCCCATGGAAGCTTCCTAGGCTGATGCTAGGCTAACAGGGAAGAGGGGTAGCAAGTATCTAGAAGCCTCCATTGGTTGGGGAAGATAAGGAAAACGAGTCCCCACACTCCTCTTCACTCAGCGCTGACAATTTATTTCATTTCTACTAAACAGCCACAAGAAAGCGTCTGCTTCTCTGACACCTTCCTGTACAAACACATAGGAGAGAGGCATGGGGGGTCATACACTTACCGCTTCTTGCTCACTAGTTATACAAATGTAAATAATGCCCTCAGTTTATTCTTAATGCTGTTTCTAAGCTGATGCATAAAATCCTATATACTAGACATAAAACGGGGTGCTGTGTGAAACCTCCATTCACATATAAATTGCAGCGTGTTTAAATCAGGTTAAACATAGCTCGAACACTTATCTTTTGTGTGTGTGTGTGTTATTGCGACAAGAACATTGAGTTTCGTTTCGCAAATCTTTCTGAGTGATAGAACATATAGTTGTTATTTATAGCTATCCTACTGTGTAATAGCGCACCAGGGCGTCTTTCTGATACTTTACAAGAATGAATGACAGGGGGAAACACAAACCACAGGATTACTCAGTTGAAACAAAGCTCATTTGCATAAAGCGTTTTTGCCACATACTTTTAAGTAAGAAATTTCTAGCTCATCGTATTTCTGAACTTTTAAAGTATTTGTCATTCTTTAGAAAACACTGAAGTTTGAGTGCTCTGAATCGCTCTTTGGTATTAACTTGGGTATATTAAGTCACTGGTCCTAGAAAACAAAGTAGTAATGTTGGGACACCAAAATAAACGAGAGCTCAAGCTGAGGCCATATGTAGATATGCCCTTGAGTAAGCATTTCAAATTTAAGTGCTAATAATTATTCTGCACGTATGTAATTATTATATATAAAATAATTCTATAATGTTAGGCATATTTGTAATTAAAGATCATGGGTAAATACTACCATGCAAGGATGTAACTCAAAATAAGTGTAACAGAACATCCCGAGTCATGTCACCAATAAAAGTTCCCATCTACAAATGAATCAAAGCTTATGAAATATGTTTACACGAAAACACTGTAAGTTTTTAGTAATGACATCAGGCTTCATTTGGGTATCAGTCTAACTTTTTTCCTCCAACTCCGTGTAACCCAGTGTTCTGCTATTTTCAGTGTGTCAAAGTCTCATTGGTGACTCCGAATATGTCTCACTCAGCCACTAAAGCACCAAGCCTCACCAAGGTGCTCGGTCAGTGCCTTCCGACCAAAGAACAAAAGCTGCTTACGTGTGTGTGTGTATTTCAGCAGGTAATTTCAAGCAACACCATATCGAAAATAAAAAAGAACTACATGGAAAAGAGTCAGATCTTCCATGTTTGATCTAGTTTGTGTATTATTAAATTAAACTTAAAAAATAATAAGGTGGCTTTAACAGAATAATTCAAAGAGTCAACAAAATTTTAAGGCAGTGTTTCTGAGTCTTGAAGTGATTTTTCTCAAAGAGGCGTAAGGCATCTTTCCTGGACTCGCTGAGCATCCTGCACAGAAGGGAGAAAGACCCCACACAGAGGGACTGAAAAGGGAGGTGATGCTTACTGCGTTCACCTGGCCCCTCCCTACACAGTCATATCTCATTAGTGCCATTCAACCCCAGACTCATAGTATGGTGTCCTATCCCTAATAACTCAATTTTTCTAACATAGTTACTGTTACAATTTAGTAAGACTAATGTTGAAATTTTGAATTTGCTGTTATCGAAACAAAAATTTAAGAATACATAAAAGGCTATGCTATTTCATAAAAATGTATTTCTAAACTTTTATCCTGACTGACTAGTTTTTACTATTTCATTTGTTTGCACGCTAGTACAAGCATCAATTCTTGAAACAGATAGACCCACTGAGTGGGGACTGATGCCTAACTCAAACCAGCAAAATAACAGAAGAATCTCCGTAGGTCTCCTATGGTCTCAACGAAACGTCCGTAAATCTGAAATATTTTGCAACTTCTATTTCTATTCTTAGGAAATGACTCTCAAATGAAAACTCAGACTTCTGTGGAAATAGCTGCCTTGCTTGAATTCCAGGATTCACCAGTAACTTTCCACTGCCATCATACCATGTCCTAAACCAGGGATCAAGACCCAGATGAAGTCACAACTGCAGGAACCTCCTAGAGAACACAAGAGTCCTCACAGAATTGTCCCTCGCTTGCATTCTGTCAAGCTTGCTGGCTTCCAGGTCTCCAGGTAGGGTTAAAAGCAACAAGGCGAATAGATGGGCATAATGCTAACTCCTGGGTAGCTGCTCCCCGCTGCACTTGTCCATTCTATTCCTGTATTTCCGATTAGCACAGGTATCATCTCTCTATAGACTAAACAAACAGGGAACGAAAACAAACAGGGCTCAGTCGCAGACAGGATGCAAGGAAGTGCTGTGTAGCTGCCGAAGGGCCGGGATGCATTCATTGTGTGGCAGCCACTGGCTATCTGCTGGGTGGTTGCAGTTAGCTGACAGAAGACAGGCAAACCTGGGCTGTGGACTGACACACGGACGACAGGCATGTGAGTAAGGGTGCACATGCCGCAGAGGGAGAAACAAGCTGGAACGAGGCGGTCCAGAGGGTTCACAAGAGGAGGTCACATAAGAGCTGAGCCTTGGGGCTTGATGAAAATCGACTTCTTAGGAGACAGACAATGGGTGGAAGCAAAATTCAGACAGATGGAAAAGCATGAGCCATGCCCAAAATAGCAAACAGTAGCCATGTATGTGTTGGGAAGACCTTGGACTCCAGCCAATGAAGAGAAAATGAAGAATGGGAAGATGGGGGTAATTGACACGGTGGGAGAGCCCTAGGCAGTGCTACTCAACTGGGAAAAGGCACATGCAAGCTCTAGCCAAGGCACATAACAGTCCCAGTAGGTTGGCTCTGTCCCACGTTCCTGTACACTTGAGCAAAGAGCAATCCCGTGAGCCAAGGCTAGGGTGTCTTCAACCAGAAGCTGTGGTCTACCTGCTCGAATACAGGGATAGCCCCTGCCCCAAATTCAGGGCATGTTTGGTGACTTCCAGTTGTGGCCATTAAAGAATCTAGTTAATCTTTGAAAACTACATAAGAAGTTAACTGTCCCTACCTTTCTTTGGAGCGATTGTGGTGACAGGGGTGCCAGAGCCACTCGACTGTAGGCTGAGGGATTCCATACACGGTGCAAGTGAGAACCTGTCTGCTGCCCAGCATGTAGAGAGCCGGGCTCGGGTAGGATGACACGGACTTCTCATAGATCTGAGGTTTCACTGGAGAGGGGGAGGAGAAAGAAGCAGAGAGACGTCAAGGGCAGAGCCAAGGATTTCCTCCTGGATCCCACATGAGAGACCAGTCCTGTTGGTTTTGGTGTCAGGGAAACACCACCATATAAATGCTCAGAGTGTGCAGAAAAATGCCTTTTGATCACACAGTATGAGCACCGTGATGGTGATAAGGAAAAACCACCTTGCCTGCAGGAGGAAAGAAAACAAGAAGTAATAGCTGAGTTGTGGCATATAGCTTTAATCCCAGCACTCAGGAGGCAGAGGCAGGCGGATCTCCGTAAGAGGCCAGCCTGGTCTACAGAGCGAGTTCCAGCACAGCCAGGGCTACACGGAGAAACCCTGTCTCAAAAAACCAACCAACCAACCAACCAACCAACCAACCAACCAACCAACCAACTAACCAACCAACCAACCAACCAAAAGACATGAAGCAGTTGTGATGGAGGCAGAAGTTTGTTTTTTCTTTGTTTTTCTGTGGTGCTGGGGCTGGAACCCAGGGCTTTGTACTTACTAGGCAAGTACTGTACGACTGAGCTTCATCTCAACCATTAGAAATTGTTTAAGAACAAAACAGTTTGCCAGGCGGTGGTGGCGCACACCTTTAATCCCAGCACTTGGGAGGCAAAGGCAGGCAGATCTCTGTGCGTTTGAGGCCAGCCTGGTCTACAAGAGCTAGTTCCAGGAAAGGCACCAAAGCTGCAGAAAAACCTTGTCTTGAAAAAAAAAAAAAAAAGAAAGGATAAAAAAAAACTTATGTGGGGCTAGAGAGTACAGAGCACTGGCTACTCTTGCAGAGGCCCGGGTTCGGTTCCAAGCAAGGTGGCTCACAGCCATCTGCAACTCCAGTCCCAGGGGATTTGACATCCTTTTCTGACCTTTCCGGATACCAGGTATGCACATGGTACACATACGTGTATCCACCAATGTAGGCGAAGCACTCATTTAATAAAATAAAATAAACTCAAAACCAAATATTTTAAAGTTCGTTTCCGTGGACTGTTTACACTGACTTTTGAGCTCACAAATTGTCAATAATTGTCATAGAACCCAAAGGTCGCACAAAATGAAACTTACCATTTACAATCAGGGTGGCAGTGAGGTTTTTAAAGAGGTTTGACTGCTTTATGCCCAGCAGGATTGTATAGTACCCTGCATCCTCAGTAGTCACATCTTTGATAACCAGTGAGTAACCGTGCACTGAATAGCGAGCCGACTTCTCCGTGGCGGGCGAGCCATCTTTCAACCTGTGGTTAACAGCATGGTGGCTGAGTCACTTCGTTGACTTTATGGTGTCACTTTGATGGCATCTGCCATTTCGTTTTGTAACCTCATGTGGAATAAGTTTGAGTCTTTGGATACCAGCTTGTTTTTGTTTGTTTGTTTTTTGTGAGTTTTTGTTGTTTGTTTGTTTTAACTTTAGACACTTAACGGTTCAGTAAAGTCAGGTGAGAGATTTAGACTGGGTAGCACTTCATCTTTATCCGCAAAGAGGAAGGAATGAACTAAATGAAGAAAAGAAAGTAGTGGCTTTACGTACCCACAAGGGTGCTGGTAACCACTGAGACCTATGGACCAACACAGAGGCTCAGGTCTGAGTCTGTCAATCTGTCAAGTGTTTTCTTTAAGGCTCCATGAGAAGTACAAGCACTCTTATACATCAGATGAACTAGATCTGATAAAAATTAAAAATAGCCTCGCCTATTGTGGGCTCATGTGGAGTTCTTATTAACTACATAAATGGTCACACCAATTGTCCCTTTCACAGAGAAACTGAAGTGAAATCAAGATAATCCCCCTCGAGGAAGAACAATCAAAGGCACCAGGCAACAGGAACTCTAAAATGTTTTTAACGCAGAATCAATGCCTTGGTGTCACTTGCTTGTACTGAGAATCAGGTAGCCTGGCTCTACCCTACAGAGAGACCAGTCTGGCCTACAGTGTCCCTCAAGACTTCTAGAAGTTCTCAAGACCCTTCTGAACTCAGATAGTCAGTGACTTAATTTTATATTTTGTTGTTTTTTTTTTTAAGGTTTACTTTTACTTGATGCTTGAGCATTTGCTCGCATGCATGCAAGTGCACAATATATGTACAGTACCCACAGAAGTCAGAAAAGGCCATTGGGCCCCTTGAAACTGAGTCACAGGTTGTTGGGAGCTTCCATGGGGCTGCTGGGAAATGAACCCAGGTCCCCTACAAGAGCAGCCAGTGCTCTTAACCATGGAGCCATCTCTCCAGCCCATGACTTTAAATGTACAGTTCTTTCAAAGGTCCTTTCATTTGTAGGGTGTGTACTGTGTTGTAGAAAGAGGTAGAAATGGGTCTTAGTCAGGCCTGCAGACCCGGGAACAAACTCTCTGGGTCTCAGTTCCAAATTGAGTTTAAATTGGCTATGCTGTATTTTGTAATTACAAATAGCTTTTTAGTATTGTTTCAGCTGCGTCGTATTACTAGGATGCAGTAGATATTAGTTTCGTTTGTTCCTTGCTACTTAGTTACTGAATAGATCAGCATGGATAGACAAAGGGTGTGTTTAGCCATGAGAGAATAAGTTTGCTTCCCAACCACTAGGTTACTATGAACTGATCTGTTTAATTCAATAATTTTTTTCTCTTCTTAACCCATACTTTGTATGACTAGCAAGAAAATTATAGTGTTCTACTAACTTTTTAGATATTTTAAAGTAAAAATATCCATTTATTTCCCACTACAATGTTGTGAAGATATAGCACACAGTTTTGATTTGTTATTTAATTTCCTATTAAATATTTGAGATAGCTGCAAACAAACACTGAGGGGCTAAGGGCCAGACAAACTCTGGTGAGGACTTTCCAAAACGGCAGGGTTTCTGTATGGTATGTATTGTTCTTCTAATCAGCTGTGAGCGGACCTTTTGTTTAAAATGTAGGGATTTAAGCCAAAGATAATGACATTATGAAGTAATTTAGCAAAAGGACTGCAGATTCAAAACAGATCGCATTGTTTTCCACAGGTACTGTACTGGTCTGACTCTTTGAAGGAAAAAGTTGTGTAAGGTATTTCTGAATACTTCAAACCAAAGAAAAATCTTCATTAATTCAAGTAGGTTAGCTTGTCCACACCTACCGATGAGTGAGTCCTACTGCTAATAATGTCTGTTGAAATTTTAGAACACGCCAGAGACTTTCAACCCAGCTGCACATAGAGGGATTATTTTTGGCACCCTCATTACAAGGGCCCACTCTTCAGGGTTAATAGAGCATGCTACACACTCAAGATGCCTCTGCGCTATTGCCCAACACATCTCATTCAAAGACAGTTGACATCATAGGAAGGTTCGGAGATGCGGGAATTTAGCATGTGTGAGGGACTGACAAACTGAATGGAGCACTCAAATCCCTCAACTCTTGCTTCACCCCTGGGCCCTTCTTCTAGGCCCATCCAGCCCTCCCCAGAGCGACCACCCAGAAATCAACACAGTATCCAACTCGCCAGCGTTGCTCCAAGCAATGCCTCTTCAGGTCTCTTTCAGGACTGTGAGCCTAAGTTCCTAAGTTCCTACTTATAAAAAGTATCTTGACTGATAGGGAAATAAATGACTGCCATCCGACTCCTACCATACAACTTCTGGCGAGGGGAAGGCCTTCACTTTCATGGACAGCCGATAGGACCGCTTTCCCGCTATGGTTTCCTGCACCTGCTGCTTCCGATGCTTCACGCTGATGAATCCCTTTCCTTTGAAAGAAGAAAAGACGATGCATCAGGAAAGGATGCATTTATGTAAACACAAGCTCACTCCTTCCCTAAGTGGAGAGGCGGTGAATCGTGATGGAGCCTGTCCAAGAGCCCAAGTGTCAATCAATGGGTGATGCCTTTAGGTCAGCTGCCAGCAAGTCCTAGAGATGTAAAGCGGTGCCTAGGCAACCAAAATATCACTATAGCTCTGTCCCAATAACAAGGGACAGTATTTCTAAAATCTACCTAGCTGATATAACGAAGATGGAGAAAGTCGCTCGGGCTGAAAGCTGAGCTGAGACAGCAAAGGAGGATAGAAAATGTTTCCGATAGCACTGGATCTCTTCTCAGAGGACCACTCACTAGTCTCCTTTGCAACGACGGACACAAGGCTTTCGCTTGTCCTTACAGAATTTACATCTTATAATTAAACAGCCATTTGGGCATTCCATGATCATTAAATGAGGAGTAGAAGATCATGAATTCCAAGTGACTTATTGTAGCTTTTAACAGGAAGATTGGCCCCAGATAGAGTAAAATTGATCATTGGGTTCTGTTTTGTTTAGACTTGACAGCAAATGAGAAACTCAAGACTGCCTTACAACCTATGCCCCAACCAAAGCAAGCATCTAAAATCAAAACTGTCCAAACCAAAAGCAGTATTATTAAAAGCTTTCATTAATCTTTGAGAATTTCATATAATGCATATTGATTCTATTCACCTCCCCCCTTCCCCTCGTGTTAATTCCTTGAAGATCTAACCCATCTCCTTCCCACTCCCAACTTCATTTCCTCTCTTTCATTTAATAACCCATCCATGGGCTGGAGAGATGGCTCAGCGGTTAAGAGCATTGGCTGCTCTTCCAAAGGTCCTGAGTTCAATTCCCAGCAACCACATGGTGGCTCACAATCATCTGTAAGGAGGTCTGGTGCCCTCTTCTGGCCTGCAGGCATACATGCCAGATAGAATAATGTATACATTATAAATAAATAAATATT